TGTTGCCACGGAACCAAAAATAGGGATGCACTGTGGTGTTAAAGGAATAGTTCTACTTTTAGGAAACACCAGGTTCTGACATGCCTGATTTCTGCGCTAATGTCGTTCTCTGGTTAGCACCAGGAATGTCTAATTTGTAAGCCAATCATTCGTGCACACTAAACGTCATACGAAAAATTGGTGAACGCACATCACAGTACAAGGTAGTTGTTGATTCACTCATGTCTCCCTCAATCATCATCTTCAAGTACCGTATTATCCGGAATATGAGTCGCATTTTTTTCCCCTACTTTCGCCGGGTTTGCGACTTATACTCAGGTGTGACTTAGATATTAAAATATATAATTTCACGTGTTTGCCATTTTCACACTGACAGCCACTAGAGGGCACTCTAGGCTTTTGTACCAGTATCTGCTACTCCTGTACCACTGACAATTTACACGTTCGTTATTTTCACACGGACAGCTGCTAGGGGGCGCTCTAGCTGGCTGCGACTTATGTATGTTTTTTTTCTTCTTCATTATGCACTTTTTGGAAGGTTTGACTTATACTTCGGAGCTACTTATAGTCCGGAATATACGGTACTTTCATGATGATTTTAATATTTCAAATTGGAATAATAACCCAAGTAGTAACACAACAACAACAACAAGAGACAGCCGTGGTTTTTAAAAAGTAAACTTAGGTTGCGATTATTTTGAATACTGGTGAGACAACAGCCAGACTAAGACATGGCTTTAGGTGACTGACACGTTAGGTGACTGATCTAAGGGTTCATTAATTCTTCTACATGTTCAGCGGAGGAGACAGTCAGCACTGACAAGGCACTTTTGATGCACTTGCGGTGCACTACAGCCTTTAAACACACACAACAGAAAACAAACACACACACACAGGCACACAGTCTCGGTACAACTGCGCTGCTGACGAAACTGATTTTCACCACCGTTATCGTCATCAGCAGCAGCAGCAGCAGCAGCAGCAGCACATTTCAGTGTATGTCAGCAGCTGTTTACAGAGCAGGGTCAGAAAATAACTAGGGAAGGGAGAGAGGAAGACAGAGAGAAAGAGGGGGGGGACGACAGAGAGAAAAAAACAAAGGGAAACAAGCAGAGAGACAGACAGACAGACAGCATGTCCACTGGACCCACTGATCACAGCATGCAGGTCTAACTATAGCAAAACCACAGGACGACTTTAATGTGTACAGTGTAAACACAGTGTACTTTAGTATTCTGGGTTCCAGTGCGACATAAAAGTTTCTGCTCTGGATAGTCAAAACCTACGAAGGTATAAGAAAAACCACCAGGGGGAGACTCTGCATACGCAAAAATAATGTATAGCTCTCATGAGATATTTATCACTGGTGTTATAACAACAGGAATGATTTGTTTATGGGTTTATATGATATTTATCACTGCTGTTAGGTCTTCTTCAGCAGAACCTGATATTTATCACTGGTGTTAGGTCTTCTTCAGCAGAACCTGATTTCAGGTTTGGAATCAATGACCACGTTTAAAGGACAGCAGTTGTTAAATTGCACAGCACCTGTGACTGTGACTGATCCTTTTAATAAAAGAGAAAAAAAACAAGTGGTCCTGCCTTGAGCCAAGCATATAAGAATTCCAAAAAGCTCTGAAGCCCTCCACAGGATAACATATTTTATTCTAACTTTTTAGAGCACACCATTTGATGGATGATTATTGAACGCTAAAATGAAAATATCACGTTCTTCAACTAGACCAGAGTCCTTCAATCAAGTTAACTAAAGCTCCAGGATATCAGTCCTTCAATCAAGTTAACTAAAGCTCTAACTAGGGATGTCTGCCGACACTACTAGCTTGATGCATGCACAATAATGTGGTATTTGCACAGATTGCTATTGTTTTTCCATCTGGGACATTTACCCGTGCACCACCGATGACCTGGTTAAAACGTTTCGTGATGTATAAACATAAAGTATTGTCTTCAGTTTCGGTTATTTCAAAGTGTCGTCCGTGGACACTAGATTTGCGTTTTGCAATTAGTACGAAGCGTTAGCCGTAAGAGGTAGAAACTTATCCAAATTAGCTACAACAGGGGCGACTGGGCAGGTAGGTTTTTCCGAAGACGTTCACCTCTCATCCAAGAGGTTTCTTCGATCCTAGTTTACAGATGGGGCGTTTCTGGTATTTAATCTCGAAGAGTGAACACCCGATAAACAGAGGGTCGTTAGAGAGAACAGTCGGGGTGACCACGCCCAATACCAAAGGAGAGAATGTCTGGGTGTAGTGTAGGTTCTCAGTCATCCAGGTCATCCTATCCAAAAATAGTTACATCGAGGGCAACTGGGCGGAGCAGGGTTTTTTTTTTTTTTTTAAAGACGTTTAACCTCTCATCCAAGAGGCTTCTTCAGAACTGCTGTTGCTATCTCCTATAAATGTTTTAAGAAAGTCTAGTTTCATCATTCCGGCGTAAGGCATTAAAATAACAACAGGAACTAGTTTCCGCGCGAGCGGACTAATGAGTCGTCACATGGCATTATATGTGAAACATGGCTGCATATGGATGGGGGGGGGTGTTAATCCATCCAGTTCCTGTTGTTATTTTAACGTCTTACATCGGAATGATGGAACAAAACTTTCTCGATACGTTTATGGGAGATGGCGACGTTACCAGGTCCAGGACGTCGTAAACCGAGGACCGCACGTATTTCTAAATTCCTCAAAAAATTGTGTAATGTGACAGGAAGAAGTCTGCATATATCCTATTGGATGATATCAGAATCAGAAATTGAGTGCTGGATATTATGATAATATTGGCGCAAAAAGTCAATTAGATTCGACTATAGTTACAAAAAACTAATTTGTACGTAATTGAAGAGGACATAAAACCAAAGTAATAACAATTATTTATTCGTTTGATGTCTGTAAGGTTAAGCATCCTCTTTTATTTCTTTTAAGGTAACATCCCTTTTACTCCTGCCTCAGGCTGAGCTGCTGACAGATAAATCTGTGCGATGGTGTTTTGCATTTTGCTGCATCATGGTCTATAAGAAGTCCAACTGGTGTAGGCAGCTCTTGAACACGCTGTCATGCCTGTGCAACATAATCCGCCCCAGTGCTGTGTGGGATTTTTTTTTGGATCTCACTCGGCCGTTTCGGACAAAGCTGAATTTACTGTCAGACTTCACAGAGAATCTCCCTCCATCTTGATGGCCTCGCAACATCACTGTTTTCTCTTCTACGCCCTGCGTCGTGTCATCGGCTGTACATGAACATGTCATGACACTTAGGAATATAAGCTGAGCTTTGAACTGTTGACAGGTATGTTGCCTTTCCAACAGGTGTCCTTATGAACGGGTGTCCTAATGAACACCGTCAACGTTAAAAAACAAAAACAATACTGCGAGAGGATGACTTCGCTGTAGTCAACGAATGTTTTTGGCTATTTTTGAACTCATTCCGGGTTCACTTTTGAATTTCTTTGTCCAGTTCGGTTACTTCAAGTCATCTGTGTCTCCTAAGCATTAGCTTAGCCTTGTTGTTTTGTTCCATTAAAAACACATTTATTTGTTGTAAAGTGTATAGAATTCTTTTGCTATATTTTGGAGTGTTTGACACATGATTATACACGATCGTTCATATAAAAGGGACATTTAGAGTCCAATTTAAAAAGTAAATTTGGTTTTCCACAGTCAAAGTCTTTTGTGTGCGGAACTGCTAAAAAATAATACAAACAAAAAATGACAACAAGTACCTTGAAAAATGAGAAGGACAAAGCCGATGAAAGTACTAATAAAAGATGTATTGTGTTTTTCTGATGTAGTACAGCACCAGGAAAACCTTTTTATGAAACAGCAAGGCTGCTCATA